TATATATATATATATATATATATATATATATATATAATAGACATTAAATATTTTGTTAATGTTAGAATTTTTATACATGGATATTTAAGAATCCTTGATAAAATTAAATAATAACACATAATAAAATAATTATATCAAAGCACAAAAAGATTAAAATGGAAGTATTCTTTATTGCTTCTTTTATTATTCTTAAGAGAAATTTATAACATTTACTTCTGATATATTTTAATATCTTTTTCATTTTCTCATTCTTAGCGATAACAATCGATTTAATTGTAGTTTAAAGCTTAATTATTGATATTGGTTAATATTAGAAAGTAAAAAGTCATAATTATTTTGTTTAAAAAAAAATACGGAGAATTTTATTATAAGAAATACAATTTTACGAATTGGACATTTCAATAAGAGTACGCTGTATACATATATCGTAAAGATTAAATATCTCGTTTATGTTAAAATTCTTATGCATATTTATAATTCATAAAAATGAATAAATAATAACGCTTAATAAAATGCACTTATGTCAAAGTACGAAGAGATTGAAATGAAAGTGTTTTCTACTGCAAACAAGAACCATAGTATTCCATAATCGATTTCAACCGAGCAGACTATACCTCTCGCTAATCGACTGCCGCTGCGGCTCGCTGCGTTCGATACTTTACGAGCCATAAGAGTAAAATTATCACGGCTCGATGCAGTAATTCTTCTGCGATCGAGCAAAAATAAACGTTTAAAAAAAATTTTTTTTCTCTTGATACACAGGATGTCTTTGACAATATCATTTCAACTCCGTTTATTTACAACGTCCTGAATTAATTATGAATTGTACTATCCTTGAGAAAAAATGATTGATCCGAAATGTGCGCTTCTCTGTGAGATCCAGTTTCTCATCATTTAGTCATCAATTAATTTCAAATGTACCCTACTTTAATTATTTATAAAATCTTTAATGCATACGTTGTATCAGGATGTTCAAGTTAGCGTTAAATTAGATAGTATTGTAGATCGGGTTTTTTTTTCATTTCTATTCGAAATGATGATTTTAGTAAATAACAATACATTAAAAGTTTGTTTTGTGTGATAAATCTGAAAACAATAATTTATACAGAGTCCGATGTTACACTCTTTACATTCAAATCTGAAATCTAGATCTTTTATTCGCGATTCTTTTCGTTTCTGTAGTACAAACAATAAATTTTTTATCCTGTTGGATGATTTATATTTTTTTCGATATGAGAAGAAAAGCTAACTCATCAGACATACTCTTTAAAAATAAATTAGTATATTATTATCGAAAAATACTATAAAAATAGTCACTGATTATATAGCAGTTATAAGTGTAGAGCATTGTAAATCAGTAAAATTTTATTGAAAGAATTAATTAATATTAATTGTTCCAATCAGTCTTATTAGAAATGATTTTAGATGACTTTAGACTGCAAAATCAGAAATGTGTGCTATTTAAAACAGTAAATATAAACCAGTAAACACCAACTAATAATAATGACCTCAACATTATATATAATTTTCTATTCGGCAATTTAATATGTACAACATACAACACACGAGTTATAGTTAACAGTTACATTGATTACTAAAAAAATGTAATATTGAGATCATACTATTATTAGTTCAGATTAATAAAAAAATTATTATTATTTGACGCACATAGATAACATCACATTGTAAATAACTTCTTTATTTAGCTGTTGAACTTGGATTTTACTTTTTGTAATGGTTTGACCGGAAGTTTTATCTATTTGACTATATTGAAGAAAAGATCACATTTGTTTTCTATCTACATATTATCGCTTTTACATTATAGAGAACTCAAATAGGAGTCAAAACGTTTATACTGCTATTGCAAACTTTATTTGGTAATTATTATGTGTAAAATTATTAAAAAATTATTCTTTTATAAATATAACATGCAATTTTTGTGGACAGTTGCTGAACGAATTTGTTAAGATTTGCTTATGATTATTTTTTACCGAAGCCATTTCCGAGACGAGTAATGAGTAACTGTGTGCGGCATATTTACTTATATATGGGTCAATCTTGATCACGCGCGATTGTAATTCGACGCCATGGTGATCGCGAGATTTTGATTTTGATATCATCTTTGCGGTCGTCGGTTCGGTCGGTTGTGGTCACGCGATAGAAAACTGAGGTTTACAACAAGTATTTTTCATGCACTGATCGATATCATATGACCTGTTTTGATCGCATGCCGAATACAGGATGTTCAAAATAAGTAAAGAGTCATTTAGCTTTGAAGAAGCTTTTGTTTCTCAAAATGTGGAGAGAAAATATTATTTCTACCTATTTATTTGTTTATACAATTCCGTAATAATTCAATTGTAAATTTATCAATGAATTGCTTGTTTGTTTATCTATGTATTTGTTGCTTCATTAAGAATGATTACTGTTTAGGGTATCCTTCGGCTCGAGCAAAGGGTCGATGGTGGAAACACTCGTTTATGAGACCCCAGTACAAGAGGAACCTGAGATCAATCACTTTCTGGACCACAACGGCCGCTTACCTCCTCCTATGATACCTGTGCCCGAT